GGTACAACAGCCGGAGTCACTGTGGCTCGCGCGACTAAGCGATGGGACTAAATGTGGGCGCTCCAAGCCACAGACGCTCTAGGGAGCTGCTGGCCGGTGGAGGCGGCAGAGCCGAGGGCGGCGAAGATCCGCGCTTCCAGGCTCTTTGACAACCAGATCATCTCTGCCGCTGTTCTTTTGTTTGGGTTTTTAAGATTTTTCTTATTTTGGGGGGAGAGAGTGAGTGACAGCACGAGCAGGGAGAGGGGCAGCGGGAGAGGGAGAAGTAGACTCCCCGCTGAGCGGGGAGCCCGACACGGGGCTCGATGCCAGGACTCCGGGATCCTGACGGATGTTGTCATATCAGGGAAAGTTTTAGAACCATATCGGGGCTGGTGCCCTGTGCAGCTTCCTAGAGTTTCCACTAAGCTCCTGCGAGAAAACGTCTATTTGAGACGAAACGTGGTTCATCTAATAGCAGAAGTGGAAGAAAATACGGCTTTACTGAGATTGTTTCTGCCTGAAGCCCACAGTCTAAAGTCCAAGGATTCAGAGATTGGCAGGGGTGGACGACTCCAATTCTAAGCCAGGAGTCGGCGCCTTGGCCTGTAAAGGGCCAGACGGTAAAGAGCTTAGGTGTCCCCGGCCACCTAAGGTCGTTGCTGCATTCTTCTCCACGTTTTTTTAGCACTCTTTAAGAACCAAAATGCGTTCTTCGCTCTGGGGACTTAAAAAAGCAGGCCTTTGGCCGGCGAGCCCGTTGTGTGCCAAGCCCTGCGCTAAACCACAGCTCAGGGGCGTGGAGGCAGAAAGCCGAACAGAATGGGGGAGATAACTAGAAAAGATAGGCCAGGTCCTAGCCTTTTCACCAGACAAAGGGCCAAGCCCAGGGTTGTAGCTAGGACGATGACAGCTTGACGTTATGGCCTCAGGAGACACAGCCATCGGTCGAGGAGACAGGTGTTCTCCAGCTCAAAGTTTACCCCACCTCCTAAAAGACCATAAGGCAGAAGCACCCAGCTCTGCTGCTACTGGAACCTTCAGCCCCTGGGCATTGATTCTTCTTCTTCTCATGCATTTTCCAAAGAGGATCGTTTATGATAGACATCCTGTTCCTTTCCCCCGTTACATGTTGGGGACATCGGGCCTCTAGGACTTAGCTTCCTGTCATAGGCTGCCAGGCCATGAGGTGCCACATCTGATAAAGAGGATAATCAGTGTCACCAAATGCCCCCCCACTCCGAGTTGGAAGTACTAACTAGTTTGGGCTTCAGGCTGTTTACCTCTTGGGAAGGGGTTAGTTCATTTCATGAATATATAAGAATGTTAAAAATTCTTACGGAGTTATGTGTGCATGTGGGGCAGCCCAGGGATGGACTGGGGCACACAGTGTCCGTCGCCTCTTCTCTTCTCTTTTCTAAGAGTGTGCTTCCTGAGTATATCCCTCACTGAAGGAATCTGATCCCCAGCTAAGATGTCACTGCTCTCAGTGTGGTCATTTTAATGACCTCTGCCAGTGTCTGGGTTAAGCATGAAAACTGGAATCCTCAGACCAAGGGCATCGGGAAGAGTTTGCCAAAGGGTTCTAGGAAAACTCTTCTTGTTCCTAAAAAGAGACACACAAAGAGACAGTTCCCTTCTTTTATTAGACCAGGGGATGGCAAACATTTTCTGGAACAGGCCACATAGTATTAGGGCTTTGCTGGCTGTGCGTGTCCTACGGTGACTCTGCTAGCAAAGCAAGAAGGCAGCCAGTGTGATAGTGAGACAAGAGGGCATGGCCGTGTTCTAATAAAACCTTATTTATGGACACTGAAATTCGAATTTCATATAATTTTCATGTGTCACCAAGTATGCCTCGTTTCACCTTTTTTTTTTTTTTTTCTAATGGGACTAAGGGAATTCTAGAGCAGGGCTGAGACAGTACCTAACATCGAGCACGACGCTTAGGCCATAATATACACATAGTTGGTGAATAAATATTTATGACATCCTCATGATGAAGTGATCCCTTTACCGTAAAAATGAGTGCACCATCATTAATGCAACATCAGAGCACCTAGACACGAAGCAGTATTAACAGATCTCAAGAGAGGGATACAGTAATAGTAGTAGACTTCCGAACCCCACCATCAGCAAGGGATACATCATCCAGGCAGAAAATCCCTAAGGACACATTGGATTGGAACCAGACTTTAGACCAAGTGGACCAGACAGACATCTCAGAACATTCCCTCCGAGAGTAGCAGAATACACAGTCTTCTCAAGCACATGTGGAACATTCTCCAGAATGAATCAGGCTAGGTCACCAAGATTTGGTGAATGAATGAATGACAAGCTTTCTTCCAAATGGAAGAAATAGATAAAATTGAGTTCTCTGGGAAGACCACCATCTACCTGCCACGTGGACCAAACCCCAAGCCAAGCCAACCAACAGGAAACCCTAGAAACACCAAGAATACAGACAGTAACCACTGAAGGTTTTAGTTTGCAACTCCCGTGTAGAGACAAGGGAACGTAGGTTCCCCAGATAGATTGCTTTTACTACCTTTGGCATTCCTTAGGTAAAAATTCAAGATCTCTCTCTCTCTCCTCATTTATCTATGTACCTACCTACCGACCTACCTTCCTACCAACCTACTTATCTACCTATGTATCCAGCATCATCTTCTTTCTGGCTGCATTTTTCATTTTTGTAGCAGAGTGTTCTGTGAAGATAGTCTGATTTTCATCATCACTCAACCCCTTTAAAGCAACAGTCTTTATCAAGCAAACTGGAGAACAGGGCTGTCTCTGCAATCCTTGGAGACCACTGCAAATACAAAATGGGGGGCTGCTGGCTCTGCTATCGTGGAGAACTTACAGATGGTACTACCAGATCACTAACCAAGCATGGGGTCCCGAGCCCCTGTGGGTCCTTCTTCCAGGAATCCGGTTCCATGAGAGGCAGAGGGCGCTGGAGGCTGTCCTGTGATGAGTTGTCAGACATCAGTTGCTCCCTGCAAAGACCTCACACGACTGTCTTGATGAGAAATCACATGGCGCCTTGTCACTCGAAACAGCAGCATTGTCCCCTGACTGTTGGGACGGTTGGAACACTAGAGGCTGATGGCCTGGGTGATCTGGTTCCAAACTTTGTCACATAGAGTTTCACATTATATAAAATATAGAAAATAGACTACTTTAAAGGCACATGAAACAGAACGTACCCAACTCTCCTAAAATCACAATTTGTCCCCAAACCAAGATTCAAATTTAGCCCTGAGGGCTTTCCCTCACATTTCCCCCCAAAACCACTGCCCCCCCCCCAGTACACAACTGTCACCTGTCGTATTGTGAAGTAACCTCTCAACTATTAGCAAGTCATTTCCCCATCCAGGCAGAATTTTTTTAATAAAGATTTTACTTAATCATTTGACAGAGACACAGCAAGAGGGAACACAAGCAGGGGGAGTGGGAGAGGGAGAAGCAGGCCTCCTATGGAGAAGGGAGCCCGATGCAGGGCTCAGTTCCAGGACCCTGGGGATCATGACCTGAGCCGAAGGCAGATGCTTAAGGACTGAGCCACCGAGGCACCCCAATCCAGACAGATTTTAAACGAAGCCACAGCTCCTGTGGCTTTTCCAGCTATGTTTACTGTGTGTGCCTACGGCCTCGGGATCAGGGTTTCTCCATCACCAGTAAATACAGAGCATCCCAGGACTCCCATACGCACAGGCACACAACCTACAGCAGAGAGGATGTGGCGTTGGGGGCGGGATGGGGGAGAGGGGAGTGTAGGGGGTGGGGGACATCCCCAATTCTCCTGTATTCAGGTCTGAATATACACATTCACTCAGGGCAACAAATCAGTCCTCCAAACTCATCTGAACAGAGACCCAAAGTAATTTTAATGCAAGTAACAAAACAAGTTAGTCTGTCTCCATCCGTAGCCCCTCCACGCGAGAATTACAGTACTTTATAAAAATGTTCTAAAAGGCGCAAACTACAGTTCCTTCAAATATGGTTGTTATGAGTAACATGTTTGGTCCTAATATTTGCTTCTTGGGTGTCTCAGCTAATTTGCTGTGTTGGGTAACGGATAACAAGCACCGAGGGAGGGCTGGTTCTACCTACAGGTCAGAAGTTCGGACAGTTTTGTCCTCCCCGCTTTCCCGGTGCAGGTCACGCCACTGGCGGGGTCGGGGGGTTGCGGGGGAAAGCAGCTCTCATATTTCACAAAACCTTGGTGTCACAGATGGATGTGGCGACCAGCTAGAAAAATCCATGGGGTCGTCACAGATGCTCAAGTTTGGGGGAATGATATTCACACACTGCCTGGCAGAGCAGGCTTTCCAGATTCCTGGCTCTAAGACTTTTTGTTTGTTTCCACTGTGGCTACAAGAAAAATCTAGAAAAGCCACCTGGGTGAGAAGCCCTGGGGCACGTTGCCCCACCTTCCTCCTTGAGGCTCACGTAGCATCTTGCAAACCCCAGGGGTGTGACCGACCCTCCCTACCCACAGCAGAGCTAACGGGGGTTTTCCGTGGAGGCACAAGGTGGCCACTGGTCCTGTCTCTGTCCCTATGTCACCCTGCACAGTGTAGGGGTCCTGTCTCAGAGAGGCTGTCTGAATTTGCTTGCGCTGTGTTTTGAGAGCCTCACCCAGTGCCTGGCACATAGTAAGCACTGACTAGTCTGTTGAAAATGAACGAGCGAGTGAATTGAGTGGATGGAGAGAGAACCCAGTCCTGCTCTGGTGTCCGTGGTGGCCCTAAATCACTCAAACCAGACATCTTCCCAGCTCCACGGGACCCGGGCTGATGAAGGTCCAGGGCAAAAGCACGTACATGGCACCAGCACAGAGAGGGGGTGGGTGGGTCCCCCACACAGCCCCAGCAGCACACTCAACAACTGGGAGGCTACAGACAGCGAGGTGCGGAGAGCTTCTCCACGGGCCCTTCCTGGGGTCACCTGCCTGGCCGCACACGGAAACACTGCTCCCACACTTAAGGGCAAACTACCCCCCCTCCACCCCGCCGCCACCACCCTGGCACCCCGCAAGACGGTCTCAGAATCGCCCAGAGCGCCCTTCACCCAGACCCTGCCAAAGCACGTTCCCTGGGGGGCAGTGTGCGCACTGAAGTGGCAAGCCACGGCCATCTGGAAGCTTCTCACTGGCTTCGTTTGCAGTCGGGACGCCAGGCCCCTCCAGATCCAGAGAAGTGTCCTCTGGGTGTACCCCAGACCACACCGCCCAGTGAAGCCACCGCGTGGCTGGCTGGAGTGGTATTTCAGCCCATCTAAGTGCCTCTGGGACGGGCAGGGACAGAGCAGTCTCCCCCGCAACCCATGAGTTTCGCTTTTGAACCCCTGGGTGTGTTCTCTGCCGCCTTCCTCACTGTGCGATTACTTTTCCTAAGTTTCCAGCTGCCCTCTCCACGGGACGGCGAGCCCCAGAAGAGCCTGCCCACATGGCATCCCCGGTGCTGGGCAGGCACCAAGCCCTCTGCAATTTATGCTGTTGACTGAGGCCAGCAAGCCTTAGAAGGCAGGGCAGGAGGAGGAGGGCGGGGCCTTCCTACTGAGAGGAGGAGGGAGGCAGCAGCACCCCTAGGCTGTCTGGCTGGCTGTGGGGGTAAGGGACCAGGCTGCTGTTGGGAAGGCCCACCTGTGAGCAGCTGAGGGACAGATGGGGAAGGCCGGGGTGATGGAGGCCAGCAGAGGCCGACATTCACCATCTGGACACAACAAGACCTTTAACATTTATGAGGCGGCTCTGCTCACCTGGCCCCAGGGCTGTGGTCCTCAGCTTCAAGGAGTTTCGTGTCCCCAAGGAGCTTGTTAGAAATGCAGGTGCCCAGGCCCCATCCCTGAAGACCTCTGATTCCACAGGTCTAGGGAGGGCCCCCGTTACTACTGTTTGCTGGGGATCACACTGAGATTCTTTGCCTTAGGAAGGTGAGCCTAAATCCGACCCCAAGTTAAAGATTGCCTCCCCTAAGGCAAGCCGGTAACAGTGTCACCAAAGGTGGGTGGCACTTTCTTGACCCAGCCCGGCACAGGAGGCTTTGGTCTGGATATAGACACAACACAGGGGTGACACCTGTTTATCACATGGAACTTGGCTAAACATCTGAGCAGGCTTCACCCCTCACCCCACCTCCAACCCTAACACAGACAGAAGGGGGAGGGGAGGCTGAGCTGGGGGAGGAGGGGCTCAGTGCAGCTCACACCTAGGGAAGGATGTCCCCCTGAGACCTGGAGTTCTTGGTCTCTTGTCACATCACATCACATCCCCAGGGTTAAGAAACCTCCTGCTGAATGTTTTTGGACTTGAGCATCGCTGGATTGGGGGCTTGGTCTCGTTGAGACTTTCAGATGGGCAGGAATTCCGCATCCCAGCCTTCATCGTCTATTCTCTGATCTCAAGAATGCAAAATTCTTCTCTCTCTCTCTCTCTCTCTTTTTTTTTTTCTTTTTGGCTTTTAAAGGAAACAATATATTTGCTAGAAAAACCGCACACAAAAAATTGATTATATACAAAACGGTTATCTGAACGTAGATTTTTGTACTGCAGCAAAAGCGACCTCGCTCCCGGGCTTCTATTTGCGTTTCCTCAGGATCAGGTACATGAGGCCGCTGATGAAGGTGAAGGCGAAGGCCACCCACGCCAGGATGAAGGAGTAGCCGTAGCTGCCTTCCTGAACTTGGTGGTAGAATTCGAAGTTGCTCTTGTGAAGGTCTTCACGCCGGTCTGTGTATATGGAAGCCGCAATCATGACACAGAGGCCTGCCGAGAACAAGCAAATAAATCAGACACAGACCACGTCACAGCATGGGCCATGGACCCGAGGGGACCATGGCCAGAGAGGAAGCACACTTGAGCTCTGATTATTGGCGGGGGTTCATTTTAGTCCAGGGGAAAGAGCACTGCTGCTGTTTCATCGCAGGTCATGGCTGCCCACTCTGTATGGCTTCACTTCCCGCTTGCGGCTAGCTGAGCCCGATTTTGCCTGGGCAGCTGGAAACCCAGCCCATAACTGGTCTAAGGCCACGGGTCAGTCAGACAGAGAATAGTTCAGGGTCTGTGCGCCACATACAACCTCTGTTCCAACTACTCAGCTCAGCCAAGGTTGCAGTGGCTGCGTGGACATAGCCGCAGGCAGTATGCAAATGAATGGGCGGGGCTACAGTCCAGTAAAATGTTACAAGACCAGGCAGTGAACCAGATATGGCCTGCGCACCATACTCTGCCAACTGTCCCCCACCCCCAGGCAATCCTGTTCCTGTTTATTTCTAATATGTTCCAGTTCTGGCCACAGAGAAATGCTTCAGTGAAAAATATTACTCCCTGGAAAGAGACAGGGAGGATAAAGCACTTTTTTTTTTAGTTGCCGTGCTTTTCCTTGTTAACTGCTTCAGATACTGTTAGGTCAGGAGGAATGTTTGGAGCTACAGCAGCCTTTTGGGGGCCATGAGGAGGTCATCGCTGACACTCTGAGGATGAAAGCATCAAAGGGTCAAGTGGAAGTTCTTGCTGCAGCTGCTGGGCTACCAGACCCACCATGGCACCTTCCACCTTCAAGCTTTTTGTTGTTTCAGAAAAGCAACAGTCTTTGGGGCCGAAGTCATTGTTAGTTGGATTTTCCTCTTACTTGAAGTCAAAAGCATCCTGAGTGAATCACCAACGGACGTTAGTGGCAGGATGAGGTCAAGTACCCTGATCTTCCCTGGGGAACCTGTGCCTCTTCCCTCCGTACCAAGATAGGACATTCTTGACGGCAGCTCCTACTTACCCTGCAGATCTTGGCTGAGGCTTCCTGTCTCTGGCACGGCTGCTCTGACCCTCTGTCTAAATCCCGACTCTGAGGTATAAAATGTTAGGCCACAGCATGGCGGCCGGCTTCTTTCCAAAGCCTCCCCCGCTGCACGGCTCCTGGCTCCTGCTCACAGTGGCCGGGAAGGAATGCTTATTCCAGGAAGCCCATCGCTGTACTTACATGACATGAGCTGGATGATGGAGGTCAGCACGAACCTCTCTCCCTGCTTGAGGCGGAAGAGTTGGAGCACAAAGATGAGGAAGGCGATGCAGCAGAGAATGGTGGACAGGATCATGGTGGCCTGGACTGCCTGCATTGTGGGGTAATCTGTGGGGAGAGGGCAAGACAGCGGGACTGAGGACCGCAGACCCCTGGGCCCCTCCAGTGGGCAGAGTGATGGGACAGCTCCAGAGTCGGGGACGATGGGAGGCAGAAGTACGTTTGCACAGTATGAGCACAAGAACAGCCAAGGGGTCGTCCCAATGTCCCCTCCCCCAGTGTCTGTCCGTGCACTGGACCAGAGGGTCCCCAACGTCTTTTTCTGGAAAAGGGAGTGAGAACCACCTGCTCTGTCATTCTTCTCAGCACATGGTTGGGGATTTTTTTTTTTTTTTTTTTTTAAGTACAAACCCTCGGGTTCCAACCTGGCAAACTCTGGTTTGGGAAGTCAGGATTAGGGGTCTCCAGAGGGACTCTGGGGAATCTAGGGCTCACAGGGTTGAGTGACCTTCAGAAGTGCTCTGGGAACTACCTAATACACCCTGAAAAGAAGAGAGTTACCCTTGTGACCACTATTTAGGAAAAAGAGAAAGGGAGGAGCTCCCTTTTGGAGAGCAGGGGTCTGCAGAGGGAAATCTCAGCAGAGAAAGGAGCTGGTCTCGGATGGAGGCCACGGCACCCAGGGAGGACACAGTGGAGGCCCCACACTGCGGGTGTAGAGAAAAGGTCAAGGACACAGACTGGAACCACCTGCATGGTTCTCAGTTTCCTCCTCCGGAAAACAGGGATGATAGCCACTCCCCCCGCTTCAGGCAGGAGAAGTGGAAGGAATTCATCCATGCAAGGATTTTAGGGGGTGCTGTCAAGAGGGGAGTCCCCGGTAAGGGCTGAAGGTTATCACCAGGACGCAGCTAAGAGAGGTGAAGGGACAGTGGCTGAAGTTGCCCAGGAAAACCTAAGAACGAGCCTTCTCCTTTTTTCCGACTTTTGCCTGAAATTGACAGGAGGGAAGCGTGATTCCTAAATCCTTCACGACATGCTTGGAGCAACGGGTGCTTGTTCATCCTGGCCACATGTGGGGATCACCCACAGGGCACCCAGGCCCTTGGCCCATTCCTTATGCTGAGGAAAGAAGCTTGACCACCTCCCCCCAACACACACACACCGGATGACTCTGTCTACACAAAGTCCAAGAACAGACGGAAGGAGACTAGGGTGACAGAAGTCGGAAGCAGTTGCCCTTGGGACAGGGCCTGTGGGAAACCAGTGGAAACAGGCCCAGGGGAACTTTCTAAGGTAGCAGGAAATTTCTCTATCTTGCTTTGGATGGTCGTTATGTGGGCATATATGTAATTGTCCAAACTCTATAAGCTGAGCCCTTAAGAAGTACATTTCTTGTTTCTAAATTATAGCTGCATGAAAAATACAAATCCAGCACACTACACGGAGAGGATGTAGGTCAGAATCTCCAGTGTTGGAACCAGGCACAGGGGTGAGGTGGGTAAGGTTCCCCCAGGCAAGTCCAACGTGGGGCCAAGGCTGGGACCCTCTGGCTAAGAGTGGTGTTTCCCAAATTGGCCCAATCTCAGAAATCACCTGGAGGCTTGTTAAAAATACAGATTCCTAAAAAAAAAAAAAAAAAAAAAAACAGACTCCTAGACCCCTCTCCCTGAGATGAGGGCACAGTGGTTCCAGGGCGGCCACCAGGAATCCGTATTTGGAATCCGCCAGGGGCCGTCCAAATACAGACACTGCAGATCATTTCCATCTCCTTAAAATGCCAATATCGAAATCCTAACCCCTGATGGGATGGCCCCGGGACATGGAGCCTCTAGGGGGTAAATCAGGTTGTGAGGGTGGAGGACCGGTTCGGCTCTCTGCCCTCCGCCCTGTGAGGCCACGAGGAGAGGGCGGCCGCACACCAGCCAAGAAGAGAGGCCTCACCGGACGCCTGATCTGCCGGCACCTGGAGAGACGCAGAAGCTCTCCTGGGTCCAGGAACAGGGAAGGGAAGGGTGCCCCCAACTCCGCTGGGCCCAGCACGCCCCCAGCCTCTGGGTTCTGCACACCCCTCCTTTCTCCAGCTTGCACAGAGCCCTCGGCCAGGCCCCTCTGGGGGACCCCGAGAGTGCAAGGAAGGGCATGAAAGCAGCGAACAGGAGTTCACTATTCACAGAGAATAGCTAAGGTGCGCTGCACTGGCTCGCCACTCACCCTGATATCTCGCATCGATTTCTGTACAGTTCGTGTTGTTGACACACACTCTCCAGACGTCTGCAAAAAACTCTTCTCCTACCCACCAGGCCTGTAAACACAAACGGAAACACAGTACGGGCTGTTGGTTAACCAGGAAAACGCTCCCCCTACTCGGCTTCGAGGCACAGTGGCCGGTCAGTACTCGGGACCCGCGCTTCTGTGTCTGCCCTGTGCATGCGAGTCACCGGGAGTCAGGTTAAAATGCAGATTCTGACTGAGAGCTCTGGGGTGGGGCCCGGGATTCTGCATTTCCGACAGGCTCCCCTATGTGTGGGGTGGCTGAAAAGTAAGACACGGGCTGGAGACCGGGCCCTCCCAGGGCACAGGGGCACAGACAACGCTCAGTGAGGGTCACAGGCATGCACCGCGGTTAATCCAAAGAACTACAGGGGTGAAGTCGCAGGGGGGGGGGCGTGGTCAGAGAGGCTGAAATCTAAGGGCAAGGCCTGGTACAGAAGGAATGATCAGACAAAGCGCTCCTCTTTCTGTCCAAGTGCCTGCTTCCTCTTTGTGCTTCTGCGGCTCCCTGCCCAGTGGGCCCTCTGTACGCCTTCCACCCACCCAAACACGGGAATCTCCCTCTCCCACCCTCCCGTCCACCGACGGTCGCTGAACTTCCACCATGTGCCGGCTACATGTCAAGTGCAATTCCTAACTCCTAACGACACCCGCTGACTCCCTGAGAGGCAAAAACAAGGCTGTGTCTTCTCAGGAGTGCACAGCAGCACAAATACCCAAGGGCACCCGAAGGATTAACGGGGGCCTGGGCTGATGCTTTTTGGCCCTGAGGTCTGTCCGTCCCTTTCACCGTTTCTGGGACCCTTTCAGGATCCCACAGGGGTAGAGGCAAGGGACACTGAAAGGAGGCTCGGAAATAACATTCACAGTAGTGAATTTATGTCGCAGACCGTGGGGTCCTCTGGGTAATGGCAGGCCCAGTGCCTCAAGCCACAGTATCAGCGTGAGAGCTCTGCCCTGGACACTCACTTCCAGAACCTTCAGGAACCGAAACTGATCGCTGCATTTACCTGCCTGATGAGATCGAGGATGGGGCGTGGTTTGAATCCCAGCTCTGCCGCTTACGGCCGCCTGTCTGCACTCTACAGGGCTCACTCCCTACAGGGCAGGTGTTGTGATGGTCTGTTTGTTATGTGATGATAAATTAACAGGGGTCCCAGACGTAAGCAGAGCTGGTGGCCACTCGTGAGGTGCACCTGGGGGCTCTGGGAGCCATGTTTCTGATTCTAAATGCCCCTGAGGCTGAACTGATCGGGATTGAAGCCAGGCTTTTGGATCAAGGTGTGGGCCACTGAGAACCTCGGTACAAAGCTTCATTTCCTGCTGGGACAGACAGTAATCTATACCAATAGATCATTTATCAAATGCATCCTTGCCATATGGCTGCAAGCTGGGTCCTTAAGTAAAAAGTTCCATTTTTCAGGGGAGCCTGGGTCATCGGGAAAGTTCCAAGCATGAGCTTTGCTAGGAAGGGCATAGCTCAGTGGCTCTCAATTGGGTTCCTGATTTGCAAGGGCAGGAGGGGCAGAGATCACCTGGCATGGGTCACCTAGGGGATCCAGGGCAGCGGTCCTCCACTGAGGGTGGTTTTGTTCCCCCTCAGGACATCTGGCCATGTCCAAAGGCATTTTCGGCTGTCACAAGTAGGGGTGGGAGTGTTTGCCATCCAGTGAGCAGGGACCAAAGATGCTCCTAAGCATCCTACAGTCCAAGGGTGGCCCCAGAGCAAAGAATGATCCAGCCCCAAATGGCTGAGGTTGAAAAATTTATCTAGAGGAGGGTTCAATCCAAGCAGCATCCTCAAAGAGCTCCCTACGCCCCAGCCACCACGCCAGGCTCTGCGGGGGGAGGGGGGGCATCAGGGATGAGAGAAGCCAGGTCCCTGCACACCCACACTTGATCATGAGATGCTCCCAACCTCCACACGGAGGCCAAGTCCTTGGGCCTGAGCAGAGATGTCGCCATAGGGAGGACAACCCCATATCCTAATCAACTAGGGGAAGTTCTCCATCCTGCTTCTATGGACTGCAGGATCCAGGGGTTGTGGGATGACCGGAAGGAAAAGGAACTCACATTGTCGATGGTGGCGACGAACAGCAGTGCGGCAGAGGTGATGTGGAAGATGATGATGAAAGCCAGAAGCACCAACATTTTCACCAGGCGTGGCGGGGCGAGGAGTCGCGCTTAGAGCCCAGAGAGACAGAGAGAGAGATGCTAAAGGGGGTGCAAAAGAGAAATACATTCGTCAATGACAGAACAGAATTAAATGAAAAACAGGCAATTTTTGGTGGGGTTTAAGAAAATCAAAAAATGGGGCACCTGGGTGACTCAGTCTGTTAAGCATCCGACCGACTCTTGATTTCGGCCCAGGTGATGATCTCAGGGTCATGAGACCGAGCGCCGTGTAGGGCTCCTCACTCAGGAGGGAGTCTGCTTGGGAGTGTCTCTCTCTCTACCTCTCCCCACCCTCGAACTCTCTCGCTCTCTCAATAAATAAAATCTTAAAAAAAAAAAAAAGGCGAAAACCACTCTTCTCATCATTCCTTGTCTAAAGAGGATTTACTGCACAAAATCTGGCAGGAGGAGCTGCTCCTGGTTGCATCTAGATGCCAAATATTCCTCGTGGTGGAGGACAGGTGAGGACCAATTCGAATCTCGAATTCAGAAAAGCATCGCACCTCTTCAGAGCAGCATGCTTCATAAAGGTGCCTGGGCAGGAAGGAGCGACCCTATGCCTCCTAAAAGGACTGCATTTCCCAGCTTCCCCTGCGGGGAGGGTGGAGCCTTGTGACTAACTCTGGCCAATGGGCTGCAAGCAAGGCAGGCAGATGTCATTTCCAGGCTGAAGAGCAGGTGTGAGTTCTACCACATCCCTCCCCTATGACATCATTAGCATGGTGCAGCCCCAATTCCTCGAAGTCTCCCACTTTGGACAGATAGAGTGATGGACAAATAATTCCTCTGGATGTTAAACCACTGAGATTTGGGGGTAATTTTTTTTTATCCTTTTATTATTTTTTTTTACTATGGCTAGACAGTCTGAATAATATGCAATAGGAAGTGACTGCAAAGTGAAATTGGAAATCTGGCAAAACAACTGGGGTTGAAGCTGGTTTTTAGAAGTGAAGCTGGAGAGCTCTTCAAAGGGTGCCAAAGGCATTCATCCATGAGGGCTTGTCCCATGTATGACCATGCTTATTCTCACTCATGGAACTCGTTATTATTCCTTCATGGGGATGGACTCTTGTGGGCTCACACAGAGTGACTCCATAAGACCCAGGAATCCCTAACACCCAACCAGGAGCCTTGGCTGCAGAGCTCAGTCTGGGCAGTCCCAGCTGTGATTCTGCACGTCATCAATTAGAAGAACCCAATGAACCAGCTCAGAGATTTTTCCAGTTCTTCTTAAAAGGACAAATACTCTTTTATTGATGCCTGCATCATTCTTTAAAAAAAAATTTTTTTTATTAGAGAGAATGAGTGGGGGGAGGGGCAGAAGGAGAGGGAGAGGCAGACTCCCTGCTGAGTGTGGAGCCAACATGGGGACTCCTCTGGGATCATGACCTGAGCTGAAGGCAGATGCTTAACCAACTGAGCCACCCAGGTGCCCCACACCTGCATCATTCTTAAATGTCATCATAGGCTGCTCCCAAACAGATTTCTGACCTTTGTCAAAAAGCCAACCTCATCGGGAAGGGCTATACACGCCAAGGTGATAACAGACCTCGTATGTTATCCACTTCAGATGACATAAAAGCATATGGACACATAACTAAAACTTTCCAGAAGAGGGGGGAAAGGCTGTAACTCAGTTTTCTCCAAAGTGTGGAACTCAAATGCTATAGGGCATGATTTTTGGTTGGAACATTGGTTGATAAGGCATTAAATAACACTGAACCACGGAGTGAGAAAGTCCTCTTCTAATCCTTCCGAGTCCACCAAAGAAAAAGACCCAGTTTGGTGCTAGCCTGTCTCAAACACCTGCCATTTGAAAAAGAAAAAAAAAGAGAGAGAGAGAAGAGGAGAAGAGAGAAGGAGAGAGAAAGAAAGAAGAAGGAAGGGAGGAAGGAAAAGAAAAAGCAGAACTTTAGGTAGGCCAGTGTAGCTAGAATTTAACAATGTCGTTTAGATTTTACTACGTTCATTTTTAAGGTTCTTTTTATAAGAAGTAAAGCTATTTATAGACAAATTTGAAGTTTTGAAAGTGAGTCATTTAAGAAAAATATTATGTAAATAAAAGGAATGGTGGCCTTTAACGTTAACAAAAGTCCTGAGGCTGGTTCTCAAACACCTAATTCTGGGAGGCACAGCTTTAACACCTGGAATTCCAGACATTAGCAAGGAGCTCCTGCAGAGAAAAGAGTTAAGTTTTTACAAGAGGTCTTGAGTCCAGTGTAAGAGAAAGATCCAGGGGGCATACAAGGGTGGCTACAGATTGGTTTGAACTGGTAGATGTCCAGGAAAATGAGGGCATAGAGAAGCAAATGCCAACTTAGTGCTCCCCCATGATGACGTCTGGACCTCCTGTAAAAACAAAATGGGGGTAAAAAGATAAAACTTGTGCACCTAGGACATTGCTCGTGACCTCATCAGGGGCTTTGGAGGATATCATTCATAAGTAGAAGAGATCCCCTAAACCTTTAAGAGGGACTCTTTGCTCCTGCGTCTTTACACCAGGCGTCTCTTTAGCTTCTATCCCTGAGGCCACTGTCCCACTTCCCTTCCTCCAGGGAACCAGTCTGCAGGTTTGCTGTGCGTCCCACCGGGAATAGGGGCTGGGTGGGAACACTTATTCCCCACTCTTCAGGTTTCCGTGTGGAGGGAACAGCACCAGAGTAGCACTTCTGGCCTCATGCCCCGCCCTTCGCTCCTGATTGGAGGGGGCCCCAGCGTCCACTTTCTGGATTGGTGGAGCTCGGGGGTTCAGGGCGCGCTGCCGGCTGTGCTCTCCGCCACGCCTCCTCCCTCGCTGAGGGCAATGGGAGCGTTTGCTTACGGGGAGCCCCGCGTCTCCCTTTCTTGGGGCGGGGTGTGGAGCCGAGAGCCCGTGCTCCAGCCCGGCTTCTCCCCGCACCGGTACCCTCCAGCATCACTCCCTTTCAGCCGCTGCACCACCTCGCCGGAATGGCCGCCTGCCTGGCGCCGGCCTGTGAGGCCGAAGCCGCGGTCGGCGGCTCGCTGGTTCCCGCTGATGGCCCCTGCGGTCCTCTCCGAACATTCTTCGACTTCAAGCTGCACTGCCAGTGGACATCCTTACGTTTCTTTCTTTCTTTCACGTTTTACCTTTAACTGTTCTCTGCTCCCAAGGTGGGGCTCGAACTCAGGACCCCGAGGGCAAAGGTCGCAGCTCCACCGACTGAGCCCGCCCTGCTCCCCGCTTCCACTCACGCCCCTGCACACTCGCGTCAGTGTATCTGAGGGGCAGAGTCCTAGAAGCGGGGGTGCTGGGCGGAAGGACATGCACCTGCAGCTGACTTTGCTTTTACCCTTTTTGTACTCGGCGAAGCCTCACAGGGTGGTGCTGTGCCATCTCCGTTCTCAAGGTGACCTAGTGCACCCACGTCACCTCTTTGACCCATTCCCGCCCGGAGTTCCGCAGGAAGCGTCATCCTCGCGTCTACACACCAGCCTCCGCCATCTCCTGGGCCCTTCCCAGCGGAACACCCCTTCCCACGACACCACCCCCACCCCTGTGCACCCTCTCTGCAGACCCCGTAGACACACCGGGTCCTGGGCTGGGGGGCGGCATGAACACAGGCCCACCAAACCCAAGGTGGCACGGAACTGAACCCTGCCGTTCACAAAGATTTATTTTCCCTCCCCCAAAAATGACACACTGAATGCCCATCCCTCTTGGTCCCCTTGTCCTTGTGGGCTTCCGGCGCGGTCTCAGTTCCCCAGAGCAGAGTTCCCTGGAGGACTCCCTCCTTGCCACCCTCAGCTGGCTCTCCCTTGCACGGTCTAGGTCTCAGGTCCACACCCCCTCCTCAGAGAGGCGCCCAGATCACCTGCTGTAAAGCACCCATGTGCCCCCCCCCCCATATGGTCTCTCCTGTCCCCCTGGCTTATTTTCTTCCAGGGACTTCCATGGGCTCAAAGTATCTCCTTTGTTCCCACATTCCTCTCTCTCCCCGTTTGCTGCCGTGCTCGGTGCACAGAAAGCTATTTCTCGTCATTCGTAGTTTTAAAAAACACGAAACTGTGCCTGCTCTTGAGAAGCTCAAAGCTCTGATAGACCAGAGGCGGGAATTGAGGGCCACAGCTTGCTGCCATCCCACAGTGAAGCAGAAGCAAGGTCAGGATGGGAGCGTGTCCTGACCTCTCCCACCAATGGCTCTTTTGACCTCACTGGGGGACCCCTCAGAGGACGGGAGACAGTCTGCCAATGTCCGTGAGCATTTCCCAGCAGCCTCTGCCCCGTGCCCCTCAACCCTCCCCAGGCAGACCAGCCGCCGTGCCATTCCTTGGGCCATTTCTTCAGGGGCCGAGCCAGCCCAGGTTCGGAAAGGCCGCCTGGATTTGGGCACGGATCTGGCTGCGTTCGGTGAGCTTTCCAAGCTCCTGTCTAGAAATCAAAGTCTTTTTTTTTTTTTTACAGATTTTATTTATTTATCTGACAGAGAGAGACACAGCGAGAGAGAGAACACAAGCAAGGGGAGTGGGAGAGGGAGAAGAGCAGGCTTCCCGTTGAGTGGGGAAGCCCGACGTAGGGCCCCATCCCAGGACCCCAGGATCATGACCCAAGCCAAAGTCAGACACTTAACGACTGAGCCCCCGAGGGGCCTCTAGAAAACAAGGTCTTAAGACTTGCAGGACTTCTCTCTTAAACATACATTTTGAGGGGTGCCTGGGTGGCTCAGATGGTTAAGCTTCTGCCTTCAGCTCAGGTTGTGATCTCCAGGTCCTGGGATCGAGCCCCGCATGGGGCTCCCAGCTCAGCAGGGAGTCTGCTTCGCCCTCTGTTTCTCCCCCTACTTGTGCTCTCTCTGTCTCTCTCTCAAATGAACGAATAAAATCGTTTAAAAAAAATACGTTTCAATCTACATAATACATGTGATGACAAAGGGGGGGGGGGAAACCCAAAGATAAAAGAACCAAAAGCATGTGGTAAAAAACCACAGCCTCTGCCTACACCCCAGTCCAGGCTTCCGTACACAGTCACTTTTAACCCCTTCAGCTGGGCTTTTCCCCAGAGTTCCATATTTCCAGACAAC